ATACATTTCTGTTTTTCATTTCATGTCTTAGGCGCCCACCTGTATAACAAGGGAATACATTTCTGTTTTCATTTCATGTCCTAGGCGCCCACTAGTATAATGCAGGAATACATTTCTGTTTTCATTTCATGTCCTAGGTCGCCCACCAGTATAATGCGGGTATACATTTTTGTTTTTCATTTCATGTCATAGGTCGCCCACCAGTATAACGAGGGAATTTTTTTTTCTTCATTCAGGCGTCCACCTGTATAACGAGAGGAATATTTTTCAGTCTTATACTGCAGATCTTGAAATCAGTAACCCACCGGAAGGCAGAAGGTTACAACAGGAATCCCCAGCAGGAAACAATAAAAATCCCCAGCACCGGAAAGCAGAAGGTTGCAACAAAAGGTCACAGCACAGTTCAAGCGCATGAGTCAAAAGGAAGAAAAGACGTCTCTTGAAAGAAGCAGCCCGTGAACATTAAATTATGCCCAGCATAACAAAGCTTAATGAAGGAAACCATATCCCCAGCGTATTTAATAAGGGATGCAAACTGGTGATTCAGGAAAGCAAGAGGCCGGTGTCATCCCCGTCAGTTCTCGGAAGAAAGAAGCACCGGAACCGACACAAGCCGACAAGAAAGCAAGGCATCAAGAATAAATGAAGAGATTATGTAATCCGTAGTCTAGCATAACTTCTTGATTTTTCTTTTAAGCATGGTGTAATAAGGAGAACGAAAAGCAGTGGTAACAGTGTGCAACAACAGTAACAGTAACATCGCAATCCCATGGTAGTCCCAGCTACCAAAACTTTCTGAACTACACGCGACCTGATTCCCTTATAACCAGGGATATGTAGGCTGTCCAAAACCAGGACTCGGTTGCGCCTTTCCTTTTTTATTTTCTTCCTCTTTTGAATAACGATATGATCAAAAATTAGTCGCATTGTTCACTTTATCTTTGCCCGAAAGCTCTTCGTGTTTTCAAGCAAAGAGGGGCAGCTGTGAACACCTAATGTTTTTAACAACATTTAATTTTTTATCACTTCTTTTATGTAAATATTTTAGGGGGTTTTAACCTACTATTATTTTAGCTTTATTACACTTTTTATTATAGGATAAAAATATCAAAAAAAATTAAAAGGTGAATTATCATTATTAAGATGTTTTTTTTTTATTTTTTGCTTTTTTATATATAAAAAAATCCGAAAATATTTATTTTATTTTTTTTTAAAAAATAATAATAATAATAATAATTTCGGGAATAATTTAAAAAATAAGAAAAAGTGAAGTATTGAATTTAAAAAATATAAAAGTAAAAATAGGTGGAATTCTCTTTTAAAAAAAGTAAAAGAATGTAGAAAATTTAAAAAAATAAAAAAGTTTTGTGGAAATTTTAAAAAAATTAAAAATAAAAGAAGGTTGGAATTAAAAAATAAATATAAAGGTATCTGAAAATTTAAAATTTTTTAAAGTAATTGAAAGTAGCATTTTTAAAAGAAAAAGAAAAGATAGTGGTTTATTTTTTTAAAGAAAAATTAAATAAAGTGAGATTCTCTTTTAAAAAAATAAAAAGTGGGATTTTAAATAAGATAAAAGTAATTAAAGTTGGAATTTTAAAAATAAAAGTAAATAAAGGTGGGATTTCTTTTTCTAAAAAAAAAAAAGCAATTTGTAAGTGGGATTTCTTTTAATTAAAAAAAACAAATCTGAAAATTTCGAAAATTTTGCTATAAATAGAAGAGAAAATTTAGGAAGAAAAAAGTGAAAAAAAGAGGAAAAACTAGATAGAGAGAAGAAAAAAAAGAGGGGGCGGAGAGAGCAGTATACACTAGATATACACTCTGGATACCCAGAATATACAGGGACAGAATTCATTTTGGAGAGAGTAAAAAGATAGAACCAAATTTTCTGAAATATTGAGAGCGGAAGAACACCATAGAGAGTTCAAATCTAGAAAGAAAAAACAAAGAGAGATTTTCGCACTATTTTTCTTCTCCATTTTTACTAGTTTTCTCCGTGTTGCTGGGATTTCTGGACTGAGGTGTTGAAGCTACTGTGTTGGGCTTTCTGCTGCTGTATGTTGCTGTGTTACATACTACTTTGCTGACCTTCTTCTTCTTGTATTGACAATACCAGGTACACAAACGATACACTGGTTCATCTTGTAAGCTACTCGAAACATGAATGCAAAAAATGAGAAAGATTTGAAGTTGTAGTTTAATGTAGTCTTTTCTTTCTTTTACTGTCTGTATGTAGAACATTCTATGCGCTGCCCATGTAAACTCTTTAAACGACTCACTTTCGAAACTTAACTATAATAACTCGAAAGTATGTAAATAAAGTAGGACATTTTCTTCATTTATTTTAGAGAAAAAACGAAAAATAAAAAAATGTAGTCATTCTAAGATTATCTTTTTTAAAAAAAAAATAATAATGAGACGAGCCTCGCCAAATAAAAATGCAAATTGTGGGGCCTTCAATAATTGGTCATAATAAATACTTAGAATTCGGGATGGACTGTTTAGTGAATTTCACTGCCTTCCCCAAAGATAATAACGCGTTAGACTCTTTAGACGCGATTTAATTAAATTACATTCTTAAACTCGGATGCACATTTATGTGACCCAAATTCAAATCTCAACGGAGTCGAAATGTGTCTCTAATCATGGGTACATTGATTGTGACGTGGTCCGAGATGCATGTCCATGA